AAGAGAAGGTAACATCCAAAATGGACAAGGAAGTAAGGAAAAAATACATGGGTGATCTCAGACTCTCATCTGTGACCATGGTTACCACAATGAGGAGGTTTCCCAAGACGGTGGACACATACATGATTAGAAACACAGCAGAGAGTATTCTCCTCAACTCTGGATTATTTGTAATGCCCAAAAGGATGAATTCAGTCACATTGTTTTGATTTCCCATGTATTAGATGATGATATAAGCCCCAGCTGAGAGTTATAAACCTGAAAAAGCAGCATACCATTTATAATTCGTGATTGTTTGGCTTCATGTATTTCTAGGATCTCAGGGAACTTATGTTCCTTTTTTTTTTTCATTTATTCACCATGTAAGCATTTGGCCTTTAATAACATGCTAAATAAAGAGCTTAAAAGAGAGCAAGTTCATTAAAGCTAGGATCTCCCCAGGCCTTTTCTTCTCTCTCTTTAAATGGCCCTTCCATGTGAAATACATTTTCCCTCCTTTTGTTGTTATCATTTATAGCCAACATTTAAAAGTACCTACCTTGCTCCAGGCATTAGAATAACCCTATGACTGACTCTTTTACAGATGAGACAACTGCTTCTCAGAGAGTTCAGGAAACTTAACCAGGGCTGCGCGGCTAGTGGGTAGTGAGGCTGGAAAGTGAACCACATTTTCTGACTCCAGAATCAGTGCTTTCAAACATCAGTATTGCTTCTCTAGTAATTACACTGTGAGTTTATCATTTACCAATCTCCGTGCTAAGTATGTTACAATATATTATCCTGTTGTATCTTCACCAAACATGAGGTGCATTATTCTGGGTTCTTCTCCAAGCAATGTGACACTTTTTTCATAATTTTGTGTTATACTCCTAACTATGAAGTGATCAGAATACATTGAAAACTAGTGATAATATCTTCTCTGACTAATACAGTGTCCGTTGATGGAGATTACAAAGTATGATGATTCAGCAAAGACCCAGGTCACAATGTAATTGACTCAAACCTGAATCAGTTCAGGTCATTCCTTTCAGTTCCTCTGTTTCCTACACGGAGCAAAGGATTCTGGAACACAGCAGTGACAACAATTCAATAACTAGGGTCACTAACTGTGTTGCCAGGCAGTGTCAAGTACGACACAGATACTACCTCATTTAAACTTCATGGTACTGTAAGAAGTGGGCACTGGTCCTATACCCATTTTAAAGAAGAGAAATTGAGGTCTTTGCACATTAACTCTCTTGCATAAGATTATACAACTAGTGCACTACGGAGCTGGCATTTTGATCACAAAGCTCAAATGCTTAACTGCTATGTTCTGCTCTGGAAGAAAGAAAAGATTATGTGGGGTTTCAGGAGAGTTACTATGGCAGCCAGGAAAAAAGTTACAATGAAAACATGCTTTCTATTTGTGGGATTTCTAAGCAGAGGCGGGCTGCCTCCTCTCAGGAATTTTGCATATAGCGTAGCTTCACACTGTATTTGGACTGTAACACTCTGCGAGTGATGAGAGGTCAGCTGTGCTATTCAACAACCCCACCGCCCCCTCCATCCCTTACACAAAATGCAGAGGGTCCACAGGAGACTATGGGAGTAACATTTTATTCATGTTACTTAACCTTCTCCTCTCCCTCCCAGCCCAAGAGCTGAGATTTTTTCTTAGAAGAACCTTTGTTCATCATAAGGAACGCTGGCTCAGGAGTCAGGAAGGGAGAAGTGGGTCTTATCCCAAGTCACGTCACTAACCGAGTCTGTTAGTTTCCTCTCTTGCATGTAAGGATGGCTCACTAGCTGAGAAACCACAGAAGGAACTCTGTCCTCTTCATACACAGACATTCAAATCTCAATTGCATTCATTGTTTATGCCTCTGGGTAAGATTTCCTTAGAGATGTGATTCATTTCATGACTAAAAAAAAAAAAAGGAAGCCAGTGTTCTAAGTACTAACTCATGCCCCATCTGTCCTTGTGGCTTGGAACTTAGAGTGATTCCTACCTGACATTCAACACTTGTCTCCAGAACCCCGTCTCTTAATTACTCAACTTTATTTTCCTCTGTTTTCCTCACTTTATTTCATTGTCATCCCACACACTTCCTGCCAGACTCATCACTTCTTTTCACATCTGCCTTTCTGTGTCCAGGGAACATCACTGGATCCAGATAGAGCAAACTTACCCCTAATTCACAGCCAGGCCACTGGCAGGCTTAGTACATAATCTCAGCCTCCCCAAGCCTCAGTTCCTGCAGCAGGGCAATTAGTCAAAGAGAAACCATAGATAGCATGTATGCATTGCTCATTATTTGAGATGAATCTGCACAGGGATTTTTTTTCCCCTCATTTAATCACCACCAACAGCCAAATTATGTAAGTATTATTATTGTGTGGATTTTCTGAAGCAGCTACTGAGCCATAGAGAAGTTGTATGACACCCCCACAGTTTCTTGGCAGGCATGTGATTAATTCCAAAGCATACACCACTAACTACTGTGCTTTCAGGCCCCCCAGTACCTACCTCCTGCCTCACGGAGCTGCTGTGAAGTTCAAAGGACGTAATGTATACGAGAAGACTCTGGAAAGCAGCCTACACACATTTTTCCTAACCATATCCTTATGTCTGTAAGTTCTAGGCTTTCTTACTGCCTCTGTCCACTCCTTTCTACCAACCAATCCATCACCAGGCTTCCCCGATGCTGCCTTTCCCCCAGTGCCTGCCTGCACCCTCACCAGCCTGAATGTTTGTTCCACTTACTCATGAAACATTTCTTTTCTGTATATGACTGCTTCATGTTGATTTCATGTTTCACTTATTTCCATAGAGACATGTTTAAGGATTGCCACTCCTTTCATGTTTCTCAGAGTCCTTAATACATTAGTAAGGATGCAGTGGAACCAATACAACCCAAGATATCTTATTGACTGGAAGGAAACAGCAAGGAGCCGAAGGGCACTGGTAACGCTGGTGCCAGCTCTTCTCCAGGTTTGAAAACAGATCTATCGTAGTCTAGTTGCTTTTCTCTGTCAACTGGGCACAATGATGCCATTTACTGGCTGTTCCTTGATAATCTCTGCTTTGGCCAAAACCGAGAATTAAACAGTACCTTGAGCTTCAGTCTGGTGTTGAATCTCAGCATCAGCTGCACTCCTGGTAAGTCCTTTCACACTGGTCACTAAGGAGTTACTGTTTCAAAGGCTGTTCAAGTAAAGACAGGAGCAGTTATGATGAATGCTTTTCTTTTATTGGATAGTCTGCCTCCTTCACTTAGCCTTCATTACTTGAGTAGACAACAAATATTTTGAAAGTTTTTCAGAGGTAATCCATTTCCTTAAATAAGGGCAGGGCTGGTAAATTTTAAACAATTACAATAGGAATCATTGTAAAGTAAATAAATAAATCAAGAAACTATTAAGGAAACTGTGTCTTAAAGCTAGACCATAGCTAAGAGAAAGGAGGACTAGGGCTATTCCCAGCAGAGAGGACACGGGCACAGGCCCAGGGGTGGGGCTGAGAGACACTGCGCAGTGAAGGCCAGAGAGTAAGCGCCATGGGTCACATACACCAGCTCTAGTTTTGATTCTGGACCACTTTCTAGCTATGTGATTATTTTGCCTCTGTAATTTATTCTTGCAGCTGTATATTTTTATTTAGAAACATTGAACTTGTATATTTATGTATGCAATTTAATAATACAACTATACAACAGGTACACATATACACTGTACATTTTAACCAAAAAAGTTACCATGGACACCACTCCATGTCAGTACATGAAGATTTAGTTTATTTCAATTTCTGCTATTTTAACAATGCTGCAGTGACAATCATTTCATGGTAGTGTGTCTGTCTATATGTATATGTTTTCATAAGGTGATTTTTTACAATGGAATTGCAGAATCAAAGACTATGAACACTTTACCCTGAATAAGTATGGGTAAATTCTCATTTAAAAAGGTTTTTCGCCACCAATATTGTATCAGAGAGCTTGTTTTTTCTATAACTTTTTGTCTTTCTTTTTTATATCCACTTCTTATTTTTTGCTGTTTATTACTACTTTTTAAAATTTCAGAGTTACGTATCTTTTTAGTTGAAGTACAGCATTTCTTATGTTTAATTGTACTTGTATTTTGTAGTATTTTTCTTTTATCTTTATAATCTTACAAGAATGCATTGTATAGTCAAAAATAATTCATAAAAAATGTTCAACAAACATTTAAACTAGTTTCATAGATAAAAGAGAGTGACAATTATTATTATTATTTTTTAGATTCATCAGTATACCCATTTCAAAATAACAACTGTGACAACTAGCTAATCGTAGAAAGCGTCACCTCCTTGAGGTCACAAAGTTAGTGAGTGGTATAACTTGGATTTGGATTCCAGGAACTCTGAAATTGAATTCTGTGGCTTGGCTTTCTCATTTCTGTTTGAGATAGATAGATAGATAGATAGATAGACAGACATATACTACACACACACACACACACACACACATATTGTATATATAAATATGTGTATAATTTCTCCAGTGACCACTTGAGCAGCTGGGTGGTCCTAGCTCCTGCATCTGGATTGTCAATTTTATGTGTAATTGGTGGACCTGTGTCCTATAGAACTCTGTGAGCATTCTAACTCAATAACTAGATTTATCACTGAAAGGCTTCAA